AAAATGTTAGCAACATTGAAACAGAAAATAACCTTGATGGAGAGATTGTTCAGAAAATAACTTTTACCATCAAAGATCTCGAGTAAGTTATATTTTCTCTCACGATCACTATGTCTTGGTAACAAAGTTTGTAACTTAAATTGTTTAAATCAAAGGGATGTGAAGTTGAAATGTATCGCATACGGAGAATTTACCGCTGATATCAAAGAAAGAACCAAAAGATTCACTGGTCCTTTTGCGGTTTCTGTTTTAACCGATTGGAGTGTAAATAAAAAAGAAGATATGGATAATCAAGCATATGTCATTATTATTTTCATTTTGTCCCATATATGTTTTATACTGCATGTATATTTCTTATTAATCATTTTATGCGTGTAGATGAAATAACTATCCATTCACATGAAGCAATTGGTTTTTCCTGTTTTCTCTTTGATCCTAACACTGATGATGCCCTGATTTTTAAGAGAAAGTAAGTAATCTGAAAATGATAATTGGAGAATTTTGTATATACAACAACCTTACAATATGTATATGTCTCTTACACTTCCAGGATTCGGGAGAGGTGGAGCACATTTTAGATAAATCGGAACAAGGATAAAAAGACACTCCTAAACCAGATATATATAATAATACTTAATGGAATAGTGTTCTCTTAATTTCTTTGTATAAGTATTTATATAACTTAAAACTTGCGTGTTGGATTTTATTATTTATTTTGATATTTTTTTATTATATTTTCATCTACAATTTAATTATTTATTATTATTATTTTTAATTATATTTGGTAGTCGTTTATTATAATATTACTTAATAAGTACATACGATTTTAAATAATCTAATATATGATTGATATTAATCGATTTAAAATAATAGTAATAGATATTTAGTATTTTTATGATTTATGTTTATACAATATTTTAGTCTTAATTAATTGAAAATAAAAATGTGATGGTTATATTACAAAAATTTTTAAAATCAAATTATAATAAGATTTGTATGCTGATTGTACAGATACCTAGTTAGTATATAATCAAATAAAAGAAACAGTGTGGCAAGATCAATAATATTTGAAACAAATTGAAAAGCGATATTAAATAAAGATCACTTAAATGAACTTGAAAAACGATATTGCATATATATATATATATATATCACTTACTTTAATTCCATCCCACAGCTTCTCAAGCTTGCTGTAAGGCATGTTTAATTCCACGAGGAAGTTCAGGTTGATATTGGGAGGCAAACATGCCATCGGATAATACACCCAGCATAGTAATCGAAGGTTTGGAGAGAGATAGCTTAAACCATGTGATAGATGCCACGTCGTCTCGTGACCACTTAACTTTAAGAATTGGAGATTAGACATTTTTTCAAAAGCTCTCTCACTTTTTAGTTCGTCTTGAAAATTAAAACCATAATTTATGCCAATAACACTTCTACTACCCTGGAAAAATAAAAGAGCCAAGAAAAATAGGTAGAGATAGTTAGTTATCAAATAAACCAAATTTTGTAATAAGCAATGCAATGAAACACTAAAGGCAAAACTTACTGCTTCATCGTCCATCAATACGTCACAAATCTCTCCATTATCGACCAAAAACTGGCGCTGCCCTGGATCATGAATAGACTTTTCACGGACAATATCTCTACCCAGTTTTTCTAGCAGGCTATGCATTTTAATATAAATCTTATTACTCCTAGGTTTCTCATATTCCATATATATGAGAGATTTCTCAGCTAAAACGTCAAGCCTTTGCCTCACATCCGGAAATGTCTTTTTAAGATGCTCTACTACTTCCTCAATCTTTCCATGGTTGAAAAAGCAGGCTATATGACAAAAAAGAAATTTATCATCTTCACATGAAGCATCATAACTGAACTGTAAAATGCTTTCAATTTTTCCGTCAAGACTTCTCCATAATATTGGTATTGCCCTTTCCCACTCCTCCTTGTACATTCCTCGAAAGTGGGAGCCCATAACCTGAAGCCCTAGAGGAAGATTACCGGCCAGTTGTGTAACTTTCCAAGCAAGATCAGCAAAACCATCTTCAGGGTACTTCTGACCAAAAGCATACATGCAGAACATTTGAAAAGCCTCATCATTTGTTGGATAATCCACTTTGTAAATATCTTTGATCCTATGTTGCTTCAAAACTCTTAGATCTTCTGTTGTGATGATAATCCGACTTCCACGACCAAACCAACTAGTTTTTTCCGCCAAGGCAACTAGTTGGGCTAACCGATCCACATCATCAAGAACAAGAAGTACTTTCTTGTGCGACTCCTAGATGAGAAATAACGATATCTTTGTGGTTGAGCATCTGTGACAACATTTGGCTCTGTAGTTGCAGTTGTGCACTGTCTTCATCGAGACAAGGTCTTGGATAGTCCCCTTTGATATTCACCATGAGTGCTCTCAATTGGAACTTGTCAGAGTGTTGTATAAATAGACTTCTGGCGATTGTGCTTTTACCAATCCCAGGAGGACCCCAAATCCCAATCATCCTCACTTCTCCTAAATCTAGGCGTAAGAAAGGTTCCATCTTTTTCATATGATCTTCCATCCCAATTAAACGCTTATAATCATTTGATGGTGCAGCAACATTCAACAGATTCGAAATATCAGTAGCTATCTTATCGATCATGGTTGCTTCATTAGGCCTGAAAAAGAGGGAGATATATGTATTTATACATCTTGTTAAGAAAGTTTATTTAAAAACTCACATAACACATTTCAAAAGTTTTGACTTTCTCTTGGCTGTTATTTAGATGCTACAAAGATGATTACAGTTTAAAACTTCTTATCTCTGTTTTTCTTTTTACAGTTTTATAATATGTTCAGAAAGATTAAGAGAAAGTGGAAATGAAGAGACGAACCAGTTTCTTGAATGGTAACCGGCGATTGTTGCCACGCTTTCCAAAGCTTGTCTCCATTTCCCAATAACCTCATTTGTTTTACCTTCACAAGTTTTCTTGAAGGCTTTCCCGAAATCTCGAATCTGCTTCTTTACATCAGTTGGATCCACTTTGTAGAAAATGGGTTTTACTGTTTGAACCAAATCCTCCTTACATTTCATAATCTCCACCAACTCGTTAAGACACCACGAGGAAGAAGCGTAGTTTTCCGAGAGCAAGACAATTGCAATTTTTGATCCTTGGATCGCTGTTTCGAGCTTAGGGCCGATAAATTGTCCTCTCTCTATCTTGTCATCAACGAATGAGTTGATTCCTTTGCTTCTGAACTCCTTCATAATGTGACTGAGAAAGGATCTACGCAGTACGCACATCTGCTCCGTGAAAGCTTGGAAAGACATCGTGTAAATAATTACGAGGCAAAGTCTGGGCCTCATCATTTGTCGCTGGCCCAATGTCTGGTTGATCTGTAGAACCAGAGTTCTCAATATGGGGAGATGGAAGAGATGAAGAAGAAGTAGCGATTCTTTTGTGTTCTTGCACTTTGAACTTTCCATAAACCATATAAAACATTTTAGTACCCAAAAGCGTGAAGATTGCAGCAGCAACACTCACAAGGAAAAGTTTGAAATCCATCACTAGCTAGTACGATGGTAGAGAGAAGGTTATAACAAAAGCTTTTAAGAGAGATAAAGAATTTACGAAGAGACTTTTTTTATCTAATGACTGAAAACGTTGAAACCATTGACTGAGAGAGAAAGAGAGAAATTAAGCGTGTTGGAAAATAGGACTGTGAAGCACAACCCTCTAGGTTCTAGCTATCAAAATTCCTCAAATTAGCCTTTAAGGTTAATGTATTGACAAACTTAGACTAACATATTCATCAGCTTACTAGACTAACCTTAGAAAGTTGGTGTTATACCATTTTGTCCAAATAATCAATATTATTACCAGACTACCATTCTATTTAAAAAAAAAACTTCAAATTATATACATAATAACATTTTCATATTAAATCATATATATACGTATATACACGTATATACAATACATTTCCCTAATTCTAAAAATAGAAATTACAAAACAAAAAAACTCAAAACCCTAATTCCGGCGGCGACGATATAGGCGATTCGGCGACTAGAGAGGCGATTCAGGGTTTTCGGAGACGAAGGAGGCGATTTCGGCGGCGACGAAAGTTTTTTCGGCCACTCATCTGGTAAGTGTTTCACATCTGGGTTCATTCTCGTCTCGAACAAGTTTTTGTCTTGGGTTTTCGGGGTTATGTCGAAAACTGTTTTCGCCTTTAGTCGCGACGGTTGTGTTTGGGTTTCAACGGTGGTTTCGCACTAACGGCGGAAACGGCGGAAGAGAAATCCATCTGTTCACATGATTTTACTCAGAAATCGTATACCTTTTCTTATTTTTTTCAGGGAAGTATTATTATCGGCGGTTTCCGTCTTTCGAGAACGGTTTCCAGAGACCCTACACGATTTCCGGCGAGTAATTTCTGTTCGTAGTGGTTCGGTTCTAATTTGTTTTTAGTAGACTTTTCAATAGTTGTTTCATTTGGTCGATATGGTAAATGGTAGATTTTTCTATGTGAGGTAGATTTGTTTTCGTTTCATTGTCTTGTTTGAATAATCAAAGTATTGTTGGTAGAGTTATTGTTGAGATTGTATTGGTAGATTTATGTATTGTTGGTTGATTTATACCATGTGTGGTAGACTTGTGGTCGTATTTGGTACAATTATATGTTATAGTTGCTCCCGGGTTTGGTAGATTTTATATTATAGTTGCTTTCGAGTTTGGTAGACATGTTCATGGTAGATTTGTTTTCATATGTGGTGCGTAATTTGTGTTTGTAATGGTTGGGTTAAAAATTGCGTTTGGTAGACTTATGTATTCTATATTTGCGTTCTCGCTTTGTGTGTGGTAGATTTTTGTTCGTTTTGGTAGATTTGTAAATGTTTTGTGCTAGGTATTCTATAGTTGCTGTCGAGTTTGGTAGATATGTGTTTGTTCATGGTAGATTTGTTTTGATGTGTGGTAGATTTGTAAGATTTTAATGTTTTTATTTGTTTGCAGACATGGCTTCAGGTAGCGGCTCAAAGGATTATCCCCAAAGATTGTACCCGGAAGGCAAATCTCCTTTGCTGAAGAAGAGTTGTCATCATAACTGCAAGCTTCATGAGTTCATCATGATGATCAGGGATCACCTTGGGGAAGAAATTTACAACGACATCATGAATAATTCTCAAGTTGGCGTGCTACTGAAGCTTGCATTGACTTCGTTCATATGGAGTGCTAAGACGGTTCAGTATTTCGTGAGCAACCAACTGAAGGTGGATAGGAATCATGAGTTCTGGACTCTTATTGGAGGTCGCCCGGTTAGATTTTCACTCTTCGAGTATGCTGAAATCACGGGGCTAAACTGTGACCCAATTGATCCCAATGACAAGTTGGAAATAGATCACACCGAATTTTGGGCTGAGATTGGAGTGAGAGGTGGGGAAGGCCCTAATTGGAATGAGTTAGAAGCTCGGATGAAAACTTGCCAAGCATGGACTTATGAGAAGAAGAAGATGTTGGCGTTACTTTTCATTTTGCATGTTGGCGTATTGGGACTTCACCGCAACAGTCGAATCCCGTTGGCTTTAGCCAAAACAGTTATGGATGAAGCAGCTTTTGAAAGACAGCCGTGGGGTCGTTATGGATTCCATGAACTAATTTATTCCATCAAGATTGCTAATTTGGGGGGAGCACGATACACTCTCCACGGATGTGTACAGGCAATGCTTGTTTGGGGTTATGAGTGCATCCCTATATTGGCTGAGAGAGCAGGGAAAGTACGCCCCGATGTAGATGACTCGGTTGTTCCTCTTCTTAGGTGGACTTCATCACGGTGTCGTTATGTTTTCGAGACTCTTTTGGAGATGGATAAGAGTGAAACCGAGGACCACAAGGTACTTGTACCTTAGCAGCTAGTTGGTAGAGTTTAGTGATAATAGCTTAGTGTTTGGTAGAGTATTTGTGGTAGAGTTATTAAATGTGTTAGAATTTTACATTTGGTAGAGTTTTTACATTTTGGTAGAGTTTTTACATTTTGGTAGAGTTTTTACATTTTGGTAGAGTTTTTACATTTTTGGTAGAGTTTTTACATTTTGGTAGAGTTTTTACATTTTGGTAGATTTTTTGTTCAGTTTGGTAGATTTATTAATATCATGGTAGATTTATTAATATCATTTTCTATGGGCATGGCAGGTTCGGGTTAGACATCTAATGGTGGTGAAGCCCTTGGAGGAAATATATCCTGTCTGGGAAGGTGAACCCCGACGTGTAGACGTCGATATAAAGGTGCATAACATGATATGCGATATTCTGGATGGAAGCTTGGATGAGGGGTTCTGGGAATCTCCCAAAAACGTAGGTGGTGATGCAACAGGTGGTGATGCAATAGTTCAGACGCCGAAACAGTCGAAGAGGAAGTTGGAAACTCCACGCGTGGAGAAGAAAAAGAAAGAGAAGGTGAAAGAGGCTGAAGCAACGGATTCAACTCCGAGAAGCAAAAGGAGAAGGGAAAGAGAGGCAAGGAAAGAAGAGACGAACCACGAAAACAAGGAGAAAAAGAAACGTAAGAAGGATGATGAGGAAGAAGATGATGATTTTAACTCACCGGTGAAGCTACTGAAGGATGCAATTGAAGAAAAGAGAAAGGAGAAAAGGGAGAGAAAAGAAAGAAAGGAGAAGGAGAGAGAGAAGGAAAGAAAGGAGAAGGAGAGAGAGAAGCAAAGAGAAAACAAGAGCAAGGAAAAAGAGCCCGCTGTGGAGAAGGAGGATAGGACGAATGAGATCCTCATGGCAATCAATGGTTTATCAACGACGGTTGCATTGCTAAACAGCAATGTCAGCAGTGCTGTAATTCGTATAGACCACCTGGATAAGAGGATTGCCGTTATCGAGGATAAACATGAAGAGAAAGATGAGGCCATGGCGAATTCTGGGAACCAGGTTGACAACGACCATGTTGACAATGATGATAATGCCGGTGATGCAGAATCCAAAATCTCACCTAAAACCCCTAGAGCAAAGGCATCTCCTCCAGCAGCAGCGCCAGTAGCAGGAACGTCAACGGGAGGTGGAGCAGGAACGGGAACGGGAGCTGTGGAAAAGGATCCGGTACGCAAGTCTCTCTTCTAATATCAGTAACTTAGCAAAAGTTACTGGAGACAACATTCAACTATGTTAAAAAACAGATCGTTTTCCTTTATGGTAGATTTGTACGAAATACTTTTTTACTTTGGTAGACTTGTATTGATGGTTTTTTTTTTAAACTTTTTCTGCACAATAGACTTTTAATGTTTTCTTGGAATACAAGATTAACTTATGTGGTAGATTTTTACATAGTTTGGCAGTGTTTTTTATATTAGGTAGATTAATAATTAATTCGGTAGATTTTTAGGTAGATTTAGTTATGTTAATATTTGGTTTGACTGATGTGTGAAATTACTATACATGCGAAGTAGTCGTGGATGATGGAGATGCAGGAAACATCAGAGCTAGGTTTTCCTGTTGCAAGAGTTGTTAGAACCCCAGCGTCGAGAGGAAAGACTGTAACCAAAGTGAAAAAAGAACCTGCTGATCCTAAAGAGAAGAATCAATCAGGCACAAAGTCAAAACCTGATTTAAAAGACAAAAACGAAGAAACCCAGATAATCAATATAAGCGATGTTTCACGGCCAGTACAGTCTAGACGAGTACAGATCCCTTCCCTGCAAGACGAAGACGACTCAGCGATTGAAGATATGAAGAAACGCTTAGATAAGCTGGTGGAACATGCAACAAATCCACCTGCTGAGAAGGAAAAAAGGGGACGCAGCCTTGCACCTACCCAGGTTTTACCCTACCTTGGTAACTCAGTGGTGAGACGCATCATGGACCCAGCAGGTCCCCCTCCTGGGAGGTATGATCCTTTTGAAGCGGTGGACAGTCGAATACTGGATAATCTAACCTGCTACGTAGCTTTTGAAGCGTAAGTCAGTTTTAAACTTCCATGGTAGACTTACTTGTTTGATTTGGTAGACCTATTTGTTTTATATAGTAGACTTATTAGGTATGTTGGTAGACTTACTTCGGAGTCTGGTATGTCTATGTCATTTTTCAGGGAAAAACAGTTGGCGAGTCCATATGCAGGAGGAGAATTTTACCTGACACTAATGACCCCTAAAGAAAAATGGCCGAGAAAGGAGTATGGGTGGTTGCATGATCAGGTATGTGGTCGTATCAGGGACCCGATTTTAGTTTCTATTGGTTTAGTAGACTTTGGAAATTGTTTGGTAAACTTTGGAAACTTAATGATAGAATTACTTTGGTAGACTTGTTCAGATGAGTGGTGGACTTGTAGTAACTAATGGTAGATTTAGTCATTATGTTTGGTAGACTTGTATTCTATTATGTTTGGTAGACTTGTAAAGCTGGTTGGTAGACTTATATAAATTTGTTTCATTACCTAATGCAGCATATGTGCAAAGGATTAGACATGTTCCGCCAACGGTCTATGCGGTATCCATCTCCTTACAAAGGGGGAAGAGTTGCTTTCATTGATCCTATCTTTTGTCGAGTTTGGTGTGGAGACTATCGAACCAAATTTCTACCAAATGAGAAGAGTTGGATATTCAGTGATGGTTATTTGGACGTTGCCAATGGTCACTACGACCATTACTTGCCTACACACAAGAAATGGGGGGCAGATGTAGATTTCGTGTATATCGCCCACAACGTGAACAACGAACATTGGGTAGCCGTTGAGGTCGACATTCCCAAAAAACAGATCCGAGTGTTTGATTGCATTCCAGATTTATACAGAAAAGGCGAGGTGGAGGAGTCTGTGAAGCCCTACGCGAGGATGATTCCGTTGTTGTTGAAACATATGGCACCACCGGAGCTCAAGAAAGGTATGAAGGAGGGCCAGTTTCATATCTACATGTATAAAACAGCGGCACTAAACAGACAGACAGGTGCAATGCAGCTTAGTAGATTTTTTTTTTTTTTGGTAGACTTTTAACTAATTATCGGATACTTGTTATCAGGTGATTGTGGCGTCTTTAATTTGAAGACCATTGAGTGTTTGGCTTTGTGCCATAAATGGGACCAGCTGAAAGATAGCAACATGCCTCTCATTCGTATGAAATACGCAGCTGAGATTTTTGATGAGGTACATAAAGCAGATGAATCCCGGATGTCTGATCCTAACCCTCGAAGTTTATTTGATGACAAGTACGGTTTTCAGACAGACTCCGCTAACTGAGATATTGGTTTGGTAGACCTTTGGGATCTGAAATCGTTTTTTGGTAGATTTAATACTCAGATCCAAACTAATTGGTAGATTTTTGGTATCAGATGTTGTATTTTGGCCGATTTATTACTCATAGCCAGCCTCTTTGATGGTCTTTTGGAATTTAGACGTCGCTTGTGTTTTGGAATTTAAAGCGACTAGATGCTGATGTAAAAGGAACCTGCTTTGTAGTCTACATGCTGGTCCTATTGCTTTACATGAATGGTAGATTTATAACATCATTGGTAGATTTATTGTAATCTTGGTAGATTTATAACATGATTGGTAGATTTATTATTGTAAAATAGTAGAGTTTAGATAAAACAAGTTCCAGATATACAAGTACATAAAACAAGGTTTTCAAGCGGATTATTGCAGTCTATAATAATACAAATACAAGGTTTTCGATTTGTCAACTAAGCTCGACATGTTAGGCGATTATGTCCGCCTTGGCCACAGTTACCACATTTGGGGATCTTCCGAGGACGTTTACTCGCCATGGCGGCTTCGAACGCACCCTTAATCCGAATTTTCTTTGGCCTGCCGGGTTGGTTGCGAACATCAGGCGGGCGACAAATTTTGGTAGCTACTTCATCTGGCACAGGGAGTGCTACGTCTCTTGGCATCACACTAACAGCATACGCTTGTTGCAAGTAACTAGTGTGGTAGTAATGATGGCAAAGAGAGACCGGCGACAACTTCCTCCTATCGGCGGTGGCTATGGCATGTACACAAGGAATTTTATCCAAATCAAACCGTCGACAAGTACATGTTTTCTCTGTCAAATTGACAACATGTGCAGATGTTGTGCCTAAAACCTCTGTACGATGCTGATCAATCTCTTGCACAGGTAAGAGTTTAGCATCTTCAACTCTAGCCTGTCGGCAAGGAATTATTTAGACGTTATATAAGTCTACCAAATAGGAGATATAACTCTACCAAATAAATGAAAGTCTACCTTAAAGGAAAAAGAAAGCCTACCAAATAATTTGAAAGTCTACTTAATATCAGATAGAAGTCTACCAAATAATACAAAGTCTACCTAATAGCAGATACAAGTCTACCAAATAATAGAAAGTCTACAAGGTAAAGTAGTGTCTACCTCAAGCAACTTCTCAACGCCCGTTGTTAGAGTGGTAGCCATGTTATTGGCATTGCCACGTCTTTTAGCAAACCACCTGGTCAGGAGACTCCTTATATCATCCACTAGTCGTACGATAGGCTTACCTCTTGCAGCAGATAGCACCTTGTTTAATAACTCCGCTATGTTGCTAGTGGTGAAATTGTACCTATCACCTTGGAAGTGTACACGACTCCACATACAAATATCTGCCTTCACCAAGTATGCATGCAATGCAGGATTTGCCTCTTGAATCTGAGCAAAAAGGGCATTGAACTCGAGAAGTCTATAAGCAGTGGCAGCCTTCTTAACAAGCTTGAATGTTTCAGCGCCTCTGAATTTCAACATAATGTTCTTATGGAGATGATATGTACAAATACCCCGACTAGCAAGAGGATAAACCTTCCCTATAGCATTTCCTATGGATTTATGCCTATCAGAAATAATGGCAAGTCCTTTCTCATCAGGAATAACACGGTGTAGTTGTGTAAAAAACCATTCCCAAGACTCATCGTTCTCAGTATCAACAACGGCAAAGGCTACGGGAAAAATGTTGAAGTTTCCATCTTGCGTGGTGGCGAGTAGTAGTGTACCTTTGTATTTTCCATGTAAAAACGTACCGTCGACCACTACCACTTTCCTCATGAAGGGAAACCCCTGTATGCTTGCGCCAAATGAAAGGAACATAAATTTGAATCTATCTTCCTCATCAACTTCTAGCTTGATTAGTGTACCCGGATTTGCTCGCCGAATCATATATAAGTATGAAGGCAGATCTTCATAACCACTTTCAGACGTCCCTAATACTAGTTCTCGAGCATACTTTAGGGCCCGATGTGCTTTCCAATAGTCAACCTGAAAATGAGAAATAATATAGTGAAGTCTACGAAATAAGATAATAACTCTACCAAGTGAGATAATAACTCTACCATAAATATTAAAAGTCTACCAAGCTAGATAATAACTCTACCACAAAATTATATAAGTCTACCAAAGGAGATAATAACTCTACCAAATAAATTATATAAGTCTATCAAAGGAGATAATAACTCTACCAAATAAATTATATAAGTCTACCAAATGAGCTAATAACTCTACCAAATAAATCATATAAGTCTACCACATTGACATTGTAACTCTACCAAATAAATTATATAAGTCTACCAAATGAGCTAATAACTCTACCAAAAATAATAAAAGTCTACCACATTGACATTGTAACTCTACCAAATAAATTATATAAGTCTACCAAATGAGCTAATAACTCTACCAAAAATAATAAAAGTCTACCAAAAGAGATAATAACTCTACCAAAGAAATAATATAACTTTACCACATACCTTTATACTATATCGTTTAGTCAAGGCTTCGGCGACGTGATTTGGTAAGACTTTTGGGCCAACACCTCCCACGAAGTCCTTATATAGCCGGCCTAGAATCTCATGGGTTGCATGGCGGGTGCGTTGTGATCGCACAGTCACAGAACATGTGTGTTCTCGAGTATAAGTTTTAACCCAAAAACATTTGCTGCTCCCAACAGTTGAAGCGCGAACCCTCCATTTGCAACCATCTACCCAACACTTAACAGTTAGCAATTTCTTACTCGAATGATCGACATTGTAGTCGAACTGTGAGCAATGGAAAGAATTTTGAGTCGCATCTCGAAGTCCTCTTTTGTTTCATAACGCTGGCCAACAACTAAGTCTAAAGATGAAATCTCTAGACTTTGAAAGTCGGGAATTGTAGTCGGTCCCCTTTTCTTCGGTGGTAGATTTAGCAAGTCCTCCTCATCTGAAATTTCACGATCTGGACGTTTCTCACGTCTACCGTACTCTTCGTCATCGGAAATTGCACCATCAGGATCTTCACATCCATCAAATCTGGTTGACAAATCCTCTTCTTCTTCATGCATTTCTTTGGCTTGTCCAACTTCAACACCTTGTTGCGGACGATCTTGGCGCACTTGTTCTTCATGGACTTGACTAGGACATGCATCTCGATCTTCGTCTTCATCAACAACTCTCTTCTGAACTTTTTCTTTAATCTCAACACATAAACGAACCGTTTTGTTTTCGTTCTGGAATTGATGCAAAAAACTCTGCAGCTGTCTTGAATTACCAACAAACACAGGAGGTGTATCCAGAGGTAATTTCCGCCGGACTTCAGACGACAACATATAGCTGAACTGAAGCTCATAAAGATGTTGATCCAACCCGAAATCTTCATATGCGATTTCAACCAAATCGGCAAAGGACGTTTTGCGGTCTATCCCTATAAAACTACATCTCCTAGACTGATCTACGATGAAGACCCACCTGGTTTTCTTCAAAACCCAGTTACCACAAACCAAAACAACTTGATCCATGAATATAAAAGTGGATATGAGGCACAAGATCGAAGTAGAAGGAGATGTGGTTGGAAAAAGAGAGGAAAAAATCAACATGCAAGAGTTATCCCAAGTTTAACAGCTCGACGGCGAAACCTAGAGGTTGAAGATAGACTCTGGTTTTGTTCCGTACTTTAGACAATACATACAGGGCAAAAATGTAAAATCGCACTGCCCGATAACTAAGTCTACCACATTGACATTGAATCTAACATTTTACAAACTAATCTACCATATAGGTGACTAAGTCTACCATTAATAAAACATATGTTCTTGTAATGTTTATAGATCTACCAACTAAAGTACAGTATATTTAAGCAGGTGAAAACCCAGCAAAAAACATAAACTTAAGAGCGAGTTGAGATATAAATCTGCTGGTCTTGCGACATAGGTGAGTTTAAACGGTAATAGGGTCGTCTGCGTTTCGGCAATTCCACCGACGGCGAAGGAGTACTCACAGATTATTTGGTATGAACATTCATAACCGCGGTTAACATTTAGTGTTCATAGCATTACACGACTTTTGTTATAGATTATTGGAGTTTTCTATCATTGTTGGGGTTAATGTTCAATGAAAAAGTCACCCTGCTTTAATAAAAGTGATAAAATGCATCTATTTCGTCGTTGAAAGGTTGTTTCTCGGCTATCGGCGGCTGTAGGCCTAAACCCAGAAACCCTAGTAGTTTTGTGTGAATGGTAGACTTTTTTTGATATGTAGTAGAGTTTTAGGATTTTCATTTATAGTAGACTTTTCTGGTTTTTCTGGTAGACTTTCGATGATTATGGTAGACTTTTAATATTTATAGTAGACTTTTGTTTATTTTGATTTGTGTTGTTTAGTACTTTTCTTATCGACGCAGACAATGCCGAGCTATAGCGACAGTTCTTCTGAAGAGCCGGAAATGGACATGTTACAGTGGTCGGGTTTTGGAGATTTCGGGATTCCAGAGAAGTGTTTTTGTGGTCGTGATATGATCCTTAAATCAATGACTGGTGATACGCCAGCAACACCTGGCCGTAGGTACTACACTTGTCCATTCTGGTTGAAGGAGGTAAGTAGCTTGAATATTTGTCTTAAGTTTTCTTAAAATATCCATTTGTTAATCTTTAGTTAACTGTTGTGATACTTAATGTATGAGATTGGCCTGATGTATGTAGGGGAGTCGAGAACATATCTGGAAATGGTGGGATGAGGCTGTTAGAGAGGAATTGGAACGGTTGAAGATTGACCTTGAGAACCATAAGGAGAAATTGCAAGTGCTTGGCAGGGATCAAGCTTTTGATCCTCGTTTCATGCGTTTGGAGAATCGTTTCCAGTCATTGGAGAGGTCTATGGAATGCAATGACTTGGTCGGAGACATTCGGGAAATGAAAGATGAGATACTCCGGCTTCAAGGAGACTTTGTTTGGATGACTGAGCAAAACGCCAGAGGTGACCACTACTTGATGCTGGCGTTGCTGTTCGTG